CCCCTACACAACCCGAGCCTCTTCTCCCCAAAAGAAAGTTTTTTCGAAGACACACATAAAAAGGGAGGGAGGGTCTCTGTATTAGGCTACACTCTATTTTCCCCCCACCCTCCCCCCGGAAGGCCGCTTTCGGGACGGTAATTTTTTTTGTGTGGGAGCACCTTCCAGGGAAGGGGGCCAAAGAGCGGCATGGGGCTCGCGAGCCGCAGTTTGCCGACCACGGCTCTAGGACATGGTAATGGCCAATAAATGGTGATTCATACAAGCAGGATAAGTGAACTGTCTCCTGTCCGCTCCAGAGGAACCAGTCAGTCTGTCCTCGCAGCCGGCAGCATCGGCACCTGGGGGCTGGTTGGAAATCGCCTTCCTGGACCTGCAGGCGGCCCTCAGAACCAGAACCCCTGGGGCCCAGCAGTGCGTGTCATCTGGCCCTCCGGGTAAGGCTGGGGGGTTGGAACCATTGGCGCAGAAGTGAAGAGCTTGAAGTTTGGACTGGAGACCCGGGTCGAGCCCTGTTCTGCCACTTACTTGCTGCACAGCCGAGGGCAGGTTTGTAACCTTAGAAGCCCCTGTTTCCCAATCTGGTTCCTAAAAGGGGCGGGGGGGGGGGGGGAAATGAGAACTGAACAGAAGAATGCCTGACAAGTGGTAAGCTTCAATATGTATTGGGCGAGTAAAATGAACCTGACACGGTAAGCAACCTGCCCAAATAAGGCAATCTGCCATGTTTACTTTCTAAACCTGGAGTCAATTTGAACTCAATCTGAGTTGGAAAAAAAAAACTGCGTTCTTAGAATTGTGCTCAAATTCCATGTTATATGAACTGCCCAGGAAAATTGAGTTTTCTCTTGACAAAGGAAGTGCATACTACAGCCAGATCATCCCCACGCCATAGGCCGCGGCTTGGCTCCCTCGTCTACAAGACTGGTCTCTGACCACCTCGATAAGGCTGGTCAGGTAACCCAGAGCCGGGGGACCTCGCATGGCATTCTGTCTGAGGACTCCCTTTCCCCGGCTCCTTCAGCAATGCTGTCTGAGAGGTGCGTGTGTCCTAAAAAAAGGACAAATAGGAAACCACGGAAACAGTACGTTTAAATGACAAGAGGGACACTATGCGAGTCCAGTCCCGGCGCCAAATGCACGCAGAGGCCTGGATGTGACAGGAGCATAATCAACCGCCAGCATCAGAAGTCACCAACGCCCGGGACACCTGCTCAATTACAAGTCACGGGAACATGATTCTACCTGGAAAGAACCCAGTTTTTCCATCGATTGTTCAGCAGTAATAAGCAGTTTATTAGCTGTCACTGCTCTAAGGCTGGAATTACATCTCCAGGGTACGTGTCACTGTGAACTCGGTTAAAAACTCAGACGCTTCCATGCCTGCAAAGTTTCACGGGAAACTTGTTTTGCAGTGTCACTTCCAACATAAAAGCAACCCTTTATTTTCTGCATCTGGATAAACACGTATCTTTTCTCCACACTCTCTCATTCAGTAAACCCGTTACATAAAAATTGATTCATTTCAAAATTGTAGGGTTTAATTCTTATCCAGATGACAAGGTATAAACAGAGTAACGTTCTCAGGTAGCAAACAGAATTCAGCACCGTGCTATGCTGCGATCCTGCTAAAAGGGACATATTCCTATCATAACTAAGAAGAAACACAAAACAAAAAGAAATAACGGACGTATTCCAAAATGAAAAACAATATGAATCCCAACACATACAGCAAACAGAGAGAGAAATGTCCATGAGCCTCTAAGTGTCTTCCTCTTGTTTTACGCAGAGTCCCTGACATACTCAACCTCCCTTTGATGTTGAGGGAGAAAGGACGGACGGAGGTGGTTTGCATTGTTTCCCACAATGCAGCAACATCCTGCAAAAAGCCTAAAGTTAACAAGAGCCTTTCTGCAGAATTCCAGAGATTACGGTTTGCTTAGAAACGTCCTCTTGCGCCCCGTGACTGATGCAAAGAAAACGGTAAATTGCTGCAGCTCTTTGCCGAAGTTTACGTATAAAATCTGAACTTCGCGTGGCATTTCCCCTCCTTCGGGCACGGTCTCGTTCTTTTACACAATCTGTCACTGGGTGTTCCTGTCACGTCACGGATACCTGTGCTATGACACGTACACATATTTGCTCTTCACAATTTCGTGACGGCGTACACTACATGTGGGCGGGCACAGATCCCGAAAAACCAAGTGTGCCCTAACTGCACTACGTGAAAAAGCACGTAACAGCGAGAAGCCATTTTCCGGTTAATAAAACCCTTGCCACGCTTCAGCCCTCCTCGGCACGGTCCAAGGTGCATGTGAGAGGGCTGATCGGCTACTTTTCCTTGGCAGCCTCTCCCGGCCCTTGTTCAGCCCATCGGCTCGAGGACTGTCACCTGTCTGATGACGACAGAATCGCCCACGGGAACGCCACGACGGCTCAGGGAAGACGGAAGGACGGGGTTTGCCATTTGAATCTTAAAGGGAGGGGGAAATACTGGAAAGATTTCCCCTCCCAATAATGATGCTGATTGGCTCCTCAAAACGACTTCTGTCTGTGTGTTTCTATGACTGTTCCAGCAGAGAAACCAGCTGCACAAAGGAACGAAAAGCTGGCCTACCCAGGCTCATGTCTTCAGGTTTAGTTTGTCATCGTGTTGGCCCTAGGCCCGCCCCCTACAGCCTCACCTCTGGTGCAGAGAGAACTCCATGAACCCCGCTTCCTCGCGAGGGGCTCTCAGATACTGGAGCTCGATGACCTTGGTTCCCAGCTCGCACTCCTGGAACCCTAATGCCCGTCCCGCTCTGTCTCCCACAGCCTTCCCCCCAAAGCCTGCAGCCTCCTGCCCTTCACCCCATCCCTCTCTCCGCTCTGCAACTCCCCTCCATCCCCGGTATCAAGTATTCATCCCCTCTCACAGTTCCTTCTCTCTCCTCCCACCGGTCTGCCCACTCCTTCCTCAGATCTCCTGGCTCCTCTTCTGACATTCATTCCCCACCGTTCACTCCTTCCAACCTGCACCCTTTAACCGGGAGACTTCCGGAGGCCCCACCCAAATCGCCCTAATGCCGGCCGGCCGAGTCCTATGATTACTCGGGAATAATAATTACTCTGAGAGGCGGTATTTGTGGGCGATTCCCCTCTGTCAGAGCACCTCGCTTATGCTGTTGCTATGGGGATACATATATTATTTGCAAAAATGTCAATACTTATATTTTATGTAAAAAAGTCGATTTTTATATAATTATACTAATAATATGAAGCATTTCCTGAGTGTTTGCCATGTACCACAGAGCTTCAATACGTATCAGTGTGTGAGTTAA